TTTCAAAGGGAAATGGGTACCAGGCGATTTCATAACACAAAAAAAGTGGAGTTCTGTGTATATGGGGTGACTAGATGGTCTACCTGTGCCATAAGAAATCTCAAAGGATAGGTGAAACCAAGTCCCTTTGATTCCGGAGACGAGCAGACGAGTATTTACCATTCCCCCTAAAAGTTTTGAGACAGTTTGTAAGCGCGATTGGATGCTAACTTGATGGATTTGTTCTATCCTTTCTATTGTCGGGAATGGGTGTGACAATGGCTTCGTTCCATTTACCATAATGATATGCTAAGTCTTGACAACCCTGACAAGTTTTGCTGCATTATCGATAGTGCTATGAGTACGAGGAGTAAAATTGGTCGGAGTCGACAAAACAAACTACATTTTAAGGGGTTTTAGTGAAGAATTGGGTAGCTGGACAAACATACACCCATTATGATGACGGTAATTATATAAGCTGAGTAGTAATCATTAATACCAAGAACAATGCAAAAAAATTACTACTATTAGCACAATCACTTGAGAGAGGACTGTGTCTCTCTCTCTCTGCTGCAGTTCTTATTCAGATGCACGACGAAAATGCTCTGCCAAAAAAGCCGGGACCAAGGTCAACCTATTGTCTTGCGTCGCGGCAAACCGCTCCACTTCAAACACCCCCTCCTTTTTAATTAGACCTCGCAACTTCCTTGGGGAGGGTGGCATATCCTTTCCCCCAAAGGGGCTGGGGGTAAGAGAAGGTGAAAAGTATGGTCGGGTAGTTCCATTTGCGCGTGAGTTATTGGCTGAATGGATTACGGTCATTGAAGGTGAAAGTAGTTTGGGTTGGTTTTTACTTTCCCGTATTTGTACGTATACACCTAGTGTAGGGAATGTTATATCTGCGGAAAATCGATTTCGAAATTTCAACGGAAATACACATTTTGGGGTCCTCTCATACGGAAAAAAGGTTGTTGTTATTATTTTTTTTAATTTATTATTTTTTTTACCGTCCGTCTGTGAACACCACTAGCGCCTAAACCATACATACTTTTTTTTTTCAAATTGAAGAAACCCTTGTCCATTTGACTCAAGTCAAAGCTTTGAGATTTCGAAAAATATTCTCTAAAATTTGAGGGTACTTTACATCAATCCTTCCGGACATATTAAACTTTTTTCAAAAATGGTTCTTAATTTTTTCTTTGAATTTGTTGGAACGGAGTAACATACACGCATAAAAGTGGCATAGATCCGATTTTCACTGTGAACTCATAATTTTCGAAAATCTAAAAAGTATGAATCCTCTTCGGTGTCTTTCTACAACTACAACTACACTATTTACAATTTTAAACAAATAGTTTCTAAAAAAAAAAAAAAAAAAAAAAAAAAAAAAAAAAAAAAAAAAAAAAAAACGACGCGAAATTTTTACCTTTAAACTTTTGTTAGCGATAGTGCTAAATGCACTATAAGATGACATAAATATCAGTTTTCTTTATCCTTTTACTATTTCAAAAATTACATAAATGTAATTTATTGGACTTGTCTCTCACGGAATTAATATTTACATTGGCGGCAATTTGTTCACATTATTACATTGATGTGTACATGTACTTTAAATAATGCCAGATAAATTTTCTCAAAAATTCAACCGTTTTCTGTGAAAACTAGCTCAAAATTCCGCATTTTCAGAAACGCTTAAACGCCATTTCACTGTGATCAACCGCCACTATGTGATCAAAAGTATCCGGACACGTCCAAAATTTTGTTATGGTGTTGTCTGTTTTCCAAGGCGGGGGCTTCCACCCCTTGTTGTGTGGTGTGGCACTATCACGGCACAGGCCTACATTGATGTTTTAAACACCTTCTTGCTTCCCACTGTTGAAGAGCAATTCGGGAATGGAAATTGCATCTTTCAACATGCTAGAGCACCTGCTTATACTGCACGGCCTGTGACGGAGTGCTTACACGACAATAACATCCCTGTAATGGACCGGTCTGCGCAGAGTCCAGACTTGAATCCTATCGATCACCTTTGGTATGTTTTTGAACGCCGACGTCGTGCCAGGCCTCACCGACCTATATCGATACCTCTCCTCAGTGCAGCACTCCGTGAAAAATGGGCTGCCATTCCCCGAAAAATCTTCCAGCTACTGATTGAAAGTATGCCTGCGAGAGTGGAAGCTGCCATCAAGGCTAAGGGTGGGCCAACACC